TGCTATAAAAGTCTACCTTTACATTTCTGACCCTCACAATTAGTCCTGATAACAATTATTCACTATTGTATCACAAGAGACCCGTTTGCATTTCATTGCATCAGCCCCGGCTAGTCAGATTGAATACTACTCACTGGAGATTCTACCTTCCTCCAGGCCCTCTGGATCTAGGTTTCCTCTTAAAAGCTTGTAAGCCAGTCATTTCTTGCCTTTGTCTTAATTGTTTTTTGAAAAAAGTCCTTGGCAGCTGGCACTCAATCTAGGCCTACCTGGATTTCTATAAAACTAGCCTGCTTTCATTTAGCCTTTTTGTTGGTAGGTGCCCTCAAGTTAGCTCCAATTCATAGCGACTATATGAACAACAGAACAAAACAGTGCCTGGCTCTGCACCATCCTCACAATTGTTGTTATGCCTGGGCCCATTGCTACTGCCACTATGCCAATCCATCTCATTGGGAGCCTTACTAGTTTTCACTGACCCTCCAGTTTGTTGCTTGTTGTTAAGTACTGTCAAGAAGATTCCGACCAATAATGACCCTATATAGGGTTTCCGAGGAGCAGCTGGTGAGCTTGAACCGCCGACCTTGCAGCATAATATTCTTCTCCAGGGACTGGTCCCTTCTGATAACATATTCAAAGTATGAGAGACAAAGTCTCACCATCCTGGTTTCTAAGGCGCATTCTGGCTGTATTTCTTCCAACATAGATTTGTTTGTTCTTCTGGAAAGTCCATAGTACTTTCCATATTCTTCTCCAACACCATAACTCAAATGCACCTATTCTTCTATAGTCTTCTGTATTCATTGTCCAACTTTCTAATGTATATGAGACTATTGAAAATACCATGATTTGGATCAGGTGCACATGACTCCTCAAACTGATTATCTTTGCTCTTGAGCACTTTAAAGAAGTCTTATGCAAGAGATTTGCGTAATGCAACATGTTGTTTGGTATCTTGACTGCTGCTTCCATGAGTGTTGATTGTAGAGCCAAGCAAAATAAAGTCTTTGACAGCATCAATCTTTCCTCCATTTATCTTGATATTATTTATCAGTCCAGTGGTGAGGATTTTTGTTTTATCATGAGGTGCAACCCCTATGAAGACTGTGGTCTTTGATCTTCATCAATAACTATTTTAAGTCCTCTTCACATTCAGCAAGCAAAGTCATATCATCTGCATATCACAGGTTGTTAATGAGTCTTCCTTCAGTCCTGATGCCACAATCTTCACATAATCTTTCTTCTTGGATTATTTTTTCAGCATACATATTGAATAAGTGTAATGAAAAAATAAAGCCCTGGCGCACACCTTTCCTGATTTAAAACCATTCAGTATCCCTTCATTTTGTTCAAACAACCATCTCTTGGTCTATGTACAGGTTCCTCCTGAGCACAATCAAGTGTCCTAGAATACCCATTCTTTGCTGTGTTACTATAATTTGTCATCCACACAGTCGAAAGCCTTTGTATAGTCTGGAGAGCGCATGTAAAACAACTTTCTGATATTCTCTGCTTTCAGCCAAGATTCACCTGACATCAGCAATGAGATCTCTCAGTCCACATCCTCTTCTAAACCTGGCTTAAATTTCTGGTAGTCCCTTATTGATGTACTGTTGTAGCCTTTTTTTAAATTATCCTCAATAAAATTTTACAAAATGTGATATTAATGATATTGTTTGATGCTTTCTCATTCTGTTGAATCACCTCTCTTTGGAATGGACAAAAATGTGCATTTCTTGTAATCGGTTGGCCAGGTCTTCCAAATTTCTTGGCATAGATGAGGAGAGAGTACCTCCAGTGAATTTGTATTTTGGTCAATTCTTGGAGCTGTTTTTTGCCAATACCTTCAGTGCAGTTTGGACTTCTTTCAGTACCATTGGTTCTTGGTCATAAGCAACTTCTTGCAGTGGTTTAACATCGACCATTTCTTTTTGATAAAGTGACTCTGTGTATACCTTTCATCTTGTTTTTATATGTCTTGCATCATTCAATATTTTGCCCATGGAATCCTTCAGTATTGCAAGTCTGGGCTTGAATTTCTCCCTTAGTTCTTTCAGCTTGAGAAATGCTAAGTGTGTTTTTCCTTTCTGATTTTTTGACTCTAGGTCCTCGCACATTTCATTACAATAACTTGACTTTGTCTTCTCTAGCTGCCCTTTGAAATTTTCTGTTATGTTTTTTACTTCCTCATTTCTTCCACTTGCTTTTACCATCTCTGTGCTGGAGAGCAAGTTTCAGAATCTCTTCAAACATCCATTTTGGTCTTTTCTTGATTTCCTGTCTTTTAAATTACCATTTACTTGCTTTTTGAATGATGTTTTTGATGTCATCCCACAACTCTTCTGGTCTTAGGTCCTTAGAGTCTAATGCGTCAAATCTGTTCTTGAGATGGCCTCTTAATTCAGGTGAGGTATGTTCAAGGTCATATTTTGGCTCTCTTGGGCTTGTTTTAATTTTCTTCAGCCTCAGCCTGAACTTGCATATGTGCAATTGATGGTTCCACAGTCTGCCCCTGGCCTTTTTTAGATTGATGATATGGAGCTTTTCTACTGTCTCTTTCCACAGATGTAGTCAGTGTGATTTCTTTGTATTCCATCTTGTAAGGTCCTTGTGATTGTCACTTTTTTTGTTGTTTAAAAAAGTTATTTGCCATCTGACCCATGGTATTTTCAATCACCTCATATGCATGAAAAACCAGGCAATGAATAAGGAAAATTGAAGACAATTTATGTGTTTGAATTAAGATGGTGGTGAAGAATATTGAATATACTATGAACTATAAGAAATTGGGCTGTGAAATGCAAGGTCAGCAGTTTGAAACTACCAGCTGTTCTGTGGGAGAAAGATGAGGCTTTCTGCTCCTGTAAAGATTTACAGCCTCGGAAACCCTGTACAGGGTCGCTATGAGTCAAAACCGACTCCACGGCACGTAATAACAACATAAGAAAAACGAACAAATCTGTCTTGGAAGCAGTACCATCAGAATGCTCCTTAGAAAAGCAAAGATGATGGGACTTCATCTCACATATTTTGGACATGTTGTCAGGAGTGACCAGTGCCTGGAGAAGGACATTATGCTTGATAAAATAGAAGATCCGTGAAAAAGAAGATCGTCAACAATATGGATTGACATAGTGGCTTCAATAATGGGCTCAAACATAGGAACAATTGTGAGGATGGCATAGGACTGGATAGCATTTCTTGTTTTGTTGTAAACAACAACTTTGATGAGTAACAGCTGAGGTGATAATAGCTGACAAGTGCCACTTAAGATGAAACTGTTGGTCTCTCCATGTCTGGAGCAAAGAAGAGTGAAGAATATCAAAGACTCAAGGCAACAATTAGTCTAAAGGACTAAAGGACCTACATTACACTGATACCAGAAGACCTGGATGGTGCCCAACTACCACTCTGTTCAGGATCATAGTAGAAGGTCCTGAGCAAAGAGTGAGGGGAGAAAATGTAGAACAAAATTCAAAATAATAAAAACAACCAGACTTATTAGTCTAATAAAGACTGGTGGAACCCCCAAGACAATGGCTCTTAGTTAACCTTCAAGTCAGTAACTGAGCCCACTCCCAGGGATTGACTTTCAGCCAAACAATACACATACCTATAAAATGAATACCACCATCAGGGAGGAATGTACTTCTCAGTACAATCAACTGTAAGAGACCAAAAGAGCAGCATTTGTCCAAAAGTAAAGCTCAGGAGATAAGAAGGGACAGAAAAAGACTAAAGGAAACAGGAATTCCAGGGAGGAAGGGGGAATAAAGGCTGTTACTTTGAGGGAATCGCAACCAATGTCATGAAATAAAATGTGTGTAAATTGTTGAATGGGAAACTAATTTGCTTTGTGAACTTCATCCAAATTATAATTAAAAAATTTTTAAAGTTATTTGCAATGAAGAAGTCATTGTTGTTGTTGTTAAGTGCCATTGAGTCGATCCTAACCCATAGCGACCCTGTATAGGGTTTCCAAGGAGCAGCTGTTGAGCTTGAACCGCTGACCTTGCAGTTCAAACGGCTTTGCAATCTGGTGCATTAACCCACAGCGCCACACCAGGGCTCCGAAGAAGTCACTAGCCTTGCAAAATTCTGTTGTGTGATTTCCTGCATCATTTCTATCACCAAGGCCGTATTTTCCAACTACTGATCCTTCCTTTTAGTGTCCAACCTTTGCATTCCAATCACCAATAATTATCAATGCATCTTGATTGCATGTTTGATCACTTTCAAACTGAAGAAGTTGGCGGAATCTTTCAATTTCATCATCACTGGCTTTAGTGGTTTGTGTGTACATTTGAATAATATTAATTGGTCTTCCTTGTAGGCATATGGATGTTATCCTATCACAGAGTTGTTTTTCAAGATAGTTCTTTTTGATGATGAATGCAACATCATTCCTCTTTAATTTGTCATTCCTGGCCTAGTAAACCATATGATTGTCAGATTCAAAATGGCCAATACCAGTCCATTTCAGCTCAGTAATGCCTAGGATATCAATTTTTATGTGTTCCATTTCATTTTTTACAACTTCCAATTATCCTAGATTCATAGTTTGTACATTCCATGTTCTAATTATTAATGGATGTTTGCAGCAATTCTCATTTTGAATTGTGTCCCATCGGCAAATGAAGGTCCCCAAAACTTTATTCCATTTGTGTCATCGTAATCTATTCTACTTGAGGAGGTTGCTCTTCCCAGTTATATTTTAAGTGTCTTTCCAAACTGAGGGGTTCATATTTCAGCATTGTATTTGGCAGTGTTCTACTGCTGTTCATTCAGAAGTCATCTGCTTCTCCTTCCTAGTCTTAAGTCTGGAAACTCCACTACATACTGTCCATCATGCTGGTATTAATACTAGTGACATAGCTTCTGACATCACAGCAACACTCAAGCCCCCAAAGTATGACAAACATATAGACAAGTAGTGATTAAACTTGTTGATTATATTTCAATAGTTTGTTGATGTCTTTTTCTCTTTTTCTTTTTCAAAGCTCTGATCAATTTACTGAAGTTCCTTATGTCAAATGAGACTGTACTTTTGGCCAAACACAACATTTTTACATTAGCCCTTATGGTGAGTAATGAAAAAATATATATTTCTTTATCTGAAGCCACACCGAAAGGTACACTGGTTTAAAACAGGAGCTGGGAAACTGGGGACTAAACCACAGGAACTAGGCTTATGTTTACTCTTGGATCAGGATCTCTAGTTTGGTGCTCCCCACTCTCACTATTTCTTTGGCAAACTTGGAACTCTTTCTCCTTTATGAAAGTGTGTTGTCGGGCAAGGGAGGTAATAGATCAGATCTCTATATGAGTGGAGAGCCTTGGTCTCAATGAAGGGACCATACTATGCTACTATAGTCTCTATGTTGATAATTAGAAAAGCCTTTAAGAGATGCCCCAGTCAGATGAGTGGTTGCATTATGGTTGTTTTGGTGTCCTAGTGACGTTTACAGATGCATGGTTATCTGGCTGATTATTTGGGGTAGAAAAAGTTCATTGTGCCTTTTAATTATTTTCTAGTGCCCAGTGATGTCTTGGTAAATTTTCATCAACTGGCTCTTGGGCACCTGTGGCAGTAGGAGTGCAGGGCAAAATTCTAATTTGTAGCATTTTCTACAAATTTCCATGGTATAACTACGCCTCCATGCCCCCTAGCCAGTTTCAACCTATCAACGTCATATTTTTTAATGCAGATTTGGGGAGAGATGTGGAGCCAGCACACCATTATATGGTAGTCGCACCTTATAGATCTGATACATAATTTGATCCCATAAGCATAGATAATAGCAAATGGTAGAAAAATAATTAGGAAGTGATGAATTTTTAGTATTATCTTTGTTTTAATATCATTTAATTGTAAGTTCATTTTTAACAATGTCTGTGTTAAACAGCACACAAAATTTCTGAAAATTTAACAGTTATTGACAGACAATAAGAGCTGGCTCCAGCATACCATTGGTTATACCCTTGTCTTCATAGCCTGATGCCTATATATGGGGTTTTTGCTCCTTTTCTAGATTGTGAACCTATTTAATATGTTTATCACATATGGCGACACGTTCTTGCCTACCCCCAGCAGCTATGATGAACTCTACTATGAGATAATCCGCATGCATCAGAGCTTTGACAACCTCTACTCCATGGGTAAGCTGTCTTTTCTTTTTACTCCTCTCTCCCCTTCAACTGTCTGGTTTTTTGACATATAAGAGGAAAAAACCTACTAAAGAGTCTTCTTTAGTTGTTAGTGCCCTTGCTTGGCATAGAAACGTAGTAGTCTTCTCTTTTCAGGTGTATGTGGGCCTCGTTGTCTTCAGGAACTCAGATTTCATCTCAGTGGAAAGCCTGTTAGCAGCCCTGTAGGCCTTGTTAATATTTGTAAAAGGGAAAAATAGAGAGGTTTGTGGATTTAATCAGTGAGGCAGAAGTGAAATCATGTTTGGGAATTTGACAGTAGCAAATAACGGAGCTGGTTCCCAGAGATACCAAGTTGGGGAAAAAAAACATTGTGTGATTTGAGAAGGTAAAGGCTTTTAAGCAATCTTAATGAGCCTTAACAATGACAACAACAATGAACTGGTGTACTTTTAGAATAATCTACCAGAGGAAGTACAGTAGATAGAAGTCTTTCTTGCAAATTTTCAGTGCTCTGTCACCATAATAAGCATAATTTACTGTATTGTTACATAAACAATGCATGTGTTTTGCTTTTTTTTTGCAAACTAGGTAACCCCTCTGTACATTAATTTCCTTAATTTTATATATAGGAAACATATGGTATTTCTGAAGGACGTCTTAAATCTTTCTAAGCTTATGTGAAGAGCCAAGTCAATCAATTGTACCCTTGAAATATGAGAAAAGATCCTTTGTAAATTGAACAGAAGTAGAAAGCCACTCAATAAAACTATTGTATTTATATAAAGTATCAGCTTTCTTTAGGTGTAATTGATATATAATAAATGGCACATATTTAAATTACACAATTGGAAAAGTTTTGTAATATTTATGCACGTAAAACTGTAATCAGCATAATGAACCTGTTCATCCCCTCTTAAAATTTCCTTGTGTCCCTTTAGAATCTCTCTACCTATGCTCCTTCCCTGTTTCTATCCCTTGACAGCCACTGATCTTGTTTTCTGTCACTATAAATTACTTTGTTTCATTCCTTTTGATGAGACTACTTGTGAAAAAACCTGCATTATACTTGGAACTTCTATACCCTTAGAAAAGTAGAAGGGACTGAGAACAAGGAGAAGCAAACTAGGGGAAAAAAAGAATTGCCCAGAAGGAAAACTTTTAAGAGAACCATATATATCTTGAGAGTCCTGGTGTGGCACTGTAGGATAAGTGTTGGACTGCTAACTGCAAGGTTGGTCATTCAAACCCACCAGCCAGTCTTTGGAAACTCTGTCCAGGGTCACTATTAAGTTAGAACTGACTCAACAGCACTTAATAGTGATAGCATCTACAGCTTGATAATATAATATCTTAGACATTGGTGTAGGGGCTTGTGTGAGTAGGATGTTTTCAACTGCAAATATGAGGGGGCTTCAAAAGGTTTATGAAAATTCTATTACCTTTCCATTCTATTTTTCCCTGAACTTTTTGAAGCCTCTTCATATCAGAACATTCTGAGTTACACTTTTCCTAATAAGAAAAGTATCTCACTTCATAAGAACTGTAAAGGAATGAAAATTTTGTATTATTGTGATCACTTGCTCAACAATATCTGCAAGGACTCATTCTTTCTATTTCTCTGCTCGCTCATACATATTACAGTGTATCTGGACACAGACCAATGACTCCAAATATGAAAGGGGCCGAGAGAGTAGAGAGAGAGGTTTTCAGCTCCAGAATGGTGGTGTAGGAATTTATTGAGGGCTTATTTACAAGGTAAGGAGCTCTGGTAAGGTAGTGGTTACAGTTTGGGCTGCTAACCTGTAGAGGTCAGCAGTTTGAAACTACCAGCTGTTCTGGGGGAGAAAGATGAGGCTTTCTGCTCCTGTAAAGATTTGCAGCTTCAGAAACCCTGTGCCAGGGTCATGTGGCCTCAGGGAAGACTTGAGTCTCTGTGATACCCAGTGGGATACCATATAAAAGTTTAATTGTGACTTGAGTAAAGGTTTATGGAGCAGAACTTCAGTTTTACATCAATAAATCATACACTTTGTTTCACTCCAGTGATTGTAATCCCCTCCATGTAACATCAGTTGTCCCACTTCCTCTCTGTGATTCTTAATCTCCATTCAACCTTCCTTCCCAATCCTACTGAACTTTGTGCTTAGGTAAATGCTGTCGATCTTGAGTGATTGACCATTCCATGTGAGTGTACTTTACTAGTGTTGTTGTTTCCCCTATATACTAATCTTATACTTGGCTGAAAATTGATGCGTACAGGTGAATTCAGTTCCAGACCTGAAGGGTAGCTGAGAGCCATTGTCCCAAGTTCCTGCAGTCTCTTTCTTACCAGTAACCCTGGTCTTTTTTATAATTTTGAAAAGATTCCACATTTTCTCCTACTCCATCAAGGTCCTTCTAATCCCTTACAAAAGAGTTGGAATGGTAGTCGGGGACTGTCTAGTTCTTCTGGTCTTCTGGTTATGGAGACAGATGTTCACGTGTTTCATTAGTTTACTGGAATAATTAATTACAAGTGTCTTTAGTTTTCACCACTCTTCTTCCCTGTGGACAAGCAGAGACCAATAGTTGTTTCTTAAATGGCTGTTCATGAGCTCTTAAGATCCCAGTAGCTACTCAAAAAGTAAGATGTAGAACATTGTATTTGTGGACTACATTATGCCAATTGCCCATGGTGTACTCTTAAGCATTTATCCCAGAGAAGTAAAAACTATGTTAACACATAATCCTGTATGTGCATATTTATAGCAGTTTAATTCATCATAACCCAGAACTCGAGACAACCTATATGTCCTTCCATGATGAATGGCTGTCTAATCATAGACAAACTGTGGTAGTTTCATCTCTATAATAGAAATACAAGTAAGAAGGAATCCCTAATTCATATAACTTGGATGAATTCCAAGGGAATCATGTTGAGTGAAAAAAAGTCAATACCAAAAGTTTACATGTTCTACAACTTCACTTATAGAGCATAAATGTTAAGAAAATTAGGGGGGCAAAATCACATAGTTGTTTTTTTTTTTTAATTATAAACTACAAAACATGCTAGTGACTGTCAAAGTTTAAGGGAAAAGTTCAGGCTGGAGGAAAGTGGATATGTCCACAATAGGGTAATATGAAAGCTTCATGTGATGATGGGAATGTTAATGGGGGATGTTCTATATTCTGACGGTATCTGTGCCAACATATTGGCTGTAATTCTGTATACTATGGTCTTATAGGATGTTACCACTGTGGAAAATTAGGTAAAGGGTACATGAGATCTCTGTGTTCTTTTTGACAATTGCCCATGAATCTACAGTTATCTCAAAAAAAAAAAAAAAGTTTCAATATAAAATAAATAAATAAGAAAATTTAAATTAAATTTTTTTTTTACTTTATCGCCCTTCCATACCTGTTCATCTTATGTATATGTCCATGTTTCTACTTTCAGATCACTGTTGTTGCAGGGTTGTATATAATAATATTTACGGAAGTAGGGCTTTTATGGCTCTGGAAAACAGGGTTTCCTTGGTGCCAGGGTCCTGGACCTCCAAGGCCACCACAGAAACTGTTATATAAGGGTGATATAGCAAGCCAGGAGTGTGCTAGCAGCAAGCAAGAGCATTGCCTCTGGCCCCCCCTTCAGGACTCTGATTTGTGGGTGACTTCAGCCCACACCCTTAGCCCTAGGGACCAGAAGGGTCCACCTGGAGGCAGGAGAGACACTTTCTCATGGAGAGGGCAGAAGAAGGGGTGGCAGTAGGACTCAGAAAGCCATATTGTTGCTCTGTCTCCAACTTTTCCACAGGCTGTTTTCTTTTTTACTGCTGCCCTCCTGCCAACCACTAAGTCTACCCACATCTGTTCTTGAGTTATTCCCAAGGAGTGCTCAAGGGATTTTTTGATGATTGGCCTTTTTTCTCTCTTTTTCCACATATCTCCTTCTCGCTAACCCTGTGTATTATCCCATTCTTGCATACCTCTCAGTGTCTTCATTTACCTTGGTCACATGTGCTGACTTCCCCTATGTTGTATGTTACCTTTCCCTTCACCAGAATTAACATAGCTAATAATCTAATGATTCCCTTCCTCCCTTTCCTATACCTAGTAACCATAAAAGAATGTTGCTTTCTGTGTGTAAATCTATTCTTAACTTTTTATACAACTAGTATCATACAATATTTTTCCTTTGGGGATTAATTTAATTCACTCAGCATAATATCCTCCAGATTCCAGATTAGTTCATGTAAATTTTACTATATGCTTTTATTTAAAAAAATAAAAGCCTACTGGAATTTTGATTTGGGTTGTAATAAATCTATAGATGATTTTTGGGAAAATTGACATCTTTATAAAAAGGCATTTTACAATCCATGAACAGACTGTATCTCGCTATTTACTGAATCTTTGATTTTCTCTTCAGCGTTTTGTAGTTCTCACCAGTATGTCACCTTTTTGTGTTACCATAAGTATATAAAAATTTCAGTTTTAAGTTGTTTATTTATGATATATGAAAGCACTACTGATTTTATATGACCTTGTATCATGTGACCTTGCCATACTCACTTGTTAGACTTGTTTTAGTAGCTTTCTGCAGCCGTTTTGAGATTGTCTTTATAAATAATCATGTTGGTGAATAAGAGTGCTTCATTTCTAATCCATATGCCTTTTCTTTTTTTTTCGTGGCATATTGCACTGGCTAGGCCTTCCAGGACTTTATTAAATTAGTAGGTTACTTGACTCTTTTCTGATCTCAAGGGAAAAGTTTTCTGATTTTCATCATTATAACATCTGATATTGTTCTTATTGGTAGGTGCTGTTGAGTTGGTTCTGACTCATAGCAACACCAAACAAAACAGAACAAAACACTACCTGATTCTGTACTGTCTTCACAGTTGTTATGTTTGAGCCCATTGTTGTTGGCACTGTGTCAGTTCATCTCATTGAGGGTCTTCTTTTTTGCTGACCCTCCACATTATCAATCATGATACCCTACACTAGGGGACTGGGCCCACCTGTCACCT